TCAAAGTAAAAGATAAGACAAGGGCTGGGGACGCAGCTCGGTGCAAAGGCCTTAAATTCAAGGCCCAATACCTGAAAAAAAGTGGGTGGGGGTTGGGGATTGATAATGTAGTTTAAGTAGTTAGGCACCACTGGGTTTGATTCCCACTACAGTAAAAATAAACAAAAGTTATGCCTCTCACCGTTTTTTTTTTTTTTTGTTTTGTTTTTGTTTTTGAGCATGTCACTCTATAGTGCAAGATTGGCCTTGAACTCACTATGTAGCCCAAGCTGACCTTAAACTCATGGTGATCCTCCTGCCTCAGCCTCCTGAGCACTAAGATTATAGGCATATGCCACCATGCCTGGCCCCTGCCTTTTTAAACTTATATAAATGATCAGTTTCCTAGTGAAATGGAGCTTATCATAATGACCTCATGTTGTTGGTAAAAGGATTCCAAGAACAGTCTTCCCTAATACACATATCGATGCAATAGGAGCCAGTGATTGACATGGTAGGAAGCAACACTGCTGAGAGCTCAGGGATGTTCTCACCTAGCAGAGGAGACAAACTCACACTAAGCAAGTGCTGTAGAGATCAGTCACTACCCGGGGTAAGGGGGATAGAAAGCATAACACGGGCAGAGCCGAACAGGCTGGGGGATGCTGAGAAGACATCACAGAGGAAGTGCCAGCTCAGTGACAGGCATGGAGAGTCAGGCCGCTGAAAGCAGAAGTAGAAGGCTGCCCGTCAGAAGGAACAGTGCATGCACAGGCAGGGAGCTCCCCAGCCCCATGGAAAGGAAACCGGCTAAAGAGCCAGGGAACCAGTGAGGCCTGAGGCAGTAGGCAAAGGCATGAGGGTCAGCAAATGTTTGTTAAGTGAATACATGAACAAAGCTGGAAAAATAGGCAGCAGCCAGTTCAGAAATGGCCTGGAAATGATAGCATTGAGGAAGAGACCTAGTCAGCAGCTTTGCATTTTAGAGGGACTGCTGGGGCACTTGCATGGCCTTGGCCAAGGGCAAGAGGAGAGAAAAGAGGCAGAGAGATTGGGTGTGGATTGTGGCAAAGGACAGGGGAACCAAGTCCAGTCCTGCTCACAGTAGAGGTATTCGTTTCTTCCTCAGACCCTAGCCCTGAGCTCCACTCCAGGGAGACCCACTCTATTCTGGCCTGAGCAAGAGAGAAAGGACAAGGCCAGCCAGAACTTCTGTGGCCCAGCCCAGGAAGCGAGATTTTCTTCTAGTGGCCGTGGAGAGCTAAGGAAGGGTGTGACAAAGTCAAGGCTTGTGAGAAGCCACCCATCCTAGGTGCCCCTGTGCCCCCCACTTAAGGACAGATTTCCCAGCCCCACTCCTAGAATAGAGTCAGGCCAGCCCAAAGCCCTGAACTTTGGGATCGAGTTTGTTAGGGCAGCGGCGGTGCCGCAAGAGAGGCCTGCTCCACCCTGTGCCGGCTGTAAGGCCATGTACAAGGAAGGCTTCAGCCCCCCTGGGGCACAAAGGTCAGATAAAACAGAGCCTCTAATCATCCAACTGAGGCCTGGTCGGGAGGCAGGCACCATAAACTGCCTGCGACCTCAGGCAAAGCCCTAGCCCCTCTGTCTGTCCCTGGAATGTGTGCCCCTCGGGACTGTGGTGTACCTTGGAGTTGACCTGTATGCTGCTGCTAGAGAAGACGCTGCTGGGCAGGACTCAGGCTGCACAGCCAGGAAGAGCTGGTCCCATCAGTGGGGCAGCCCTGCCCTGGCCTAGAGCCTGCCCCTGGTTGGCCATGGGAGGAGGCTTCCACCTGCACTTAGACTCCTGTTGTGCCATGTCTGGGCACTAGAACGCCTGGCCACCTCCCAGGCTTTGCTCTTGCTGCTTCCTCCCCTGGACCTGCCCTATCCTAACCCCCCATGCCTGGTGAAAGGTAGGAACACCAGGGGCAGGTGCTGCTGGGTGGGGAGGAGCTGGGCTGGGGGGCAGGCAGGGGAGTTAAGGAAGATGTTGCTGGGATACTGCTCAAGCCCTGATCCAGGGCCACGGATGTGGCAGCTGCAGTCTAATCCATGTGACCCCTGCCCACAGGTAACCCCCATCGGCCAAGCCCTGAGCCTGAGGAGCCACGGAAGCCTGGACCCGCAGAGCGAGGCAGCAGCTCTGGGACCCCCAAGCTGATACAGCGGGCGCTGCTGCGTGGCACCGCCCTGCTCGCCTCACTGGGCCTGGGCCGTGATCTGCAGCCCCCTGGGGGCCTGGGCCGTGACCGTGGGGATCCCCCACAAGCCCCCCCCACACCAGCACCAGCACCATGCTCTGCCATCACAGAGCCAGCCCCGACCCCACTCATCCACCTCTCCCCCAAGATGCCTGACACCCGTGACCCGCCCAGTCCTGTGCCCCTGCTGCTGGACCTGGGCATTCCTGCAGGCCAGCCGTCCGCCAAGAGTCCCCGGCGGGAGGAGATGCGCGGTGAGTGGCTCTGAGATGGATAAAGAGGGAGCCACCAGGGAGGGAGGTGCTGCAGAAGACTGCAGGGAAGCCAGGATGGCTCATGTCTAGTGGTCCCCAAACTGAGCTCTGGGCCGCTAGGGACTCAGAGAGCTCAGGCCTAGTTCAGCTGTGCAGTGGGCAGGAGTGGGCTGGGCTGCCAAAGGCCTCCACACTGAGTTACTGCCTCAGCTCTTTTATATTCTTTAAGACAAGATCTTTGATTTGCTGGTTTTGAGTTTGTGATTGCTCTGCCTCAGCCTCCCGAGTGCTTTGGTTTTTGGAGATAGAGTTTCACTCTGTAATCCAGGTTGGCATTGAACTCACTGCTTAGCTCATGCAGGCCTCAAATTGTTGGCAGCCCTTCTGCCTCAGCCTCATGAGTTCTGGGATGTATAGGGATGTACCACTGTGCCCAGCTCTGATACCCATTTCTTTTGGATCAAGTATTAAAGAACAGAGATTTAGGGGCCCCAGGCTCCCACAACTTGTAAATGATAGGGCTGGAGTCTAGGCTCAAACCTTTCTGCTCCACTTACTGTGCTCTGAGCCACTTGTAATAAACAGAGGCATCAAGGAGCATAAAGAACCACAGAAGTTATGAGTCAGGCAATGTAGTTCACTGTGCAGATGGAAAAACTGAAGCTCGCCTCACCCTTGCCCTCCCGCACCCTTACAGGAGGCACTGTCTCACCCCCACCAGGAATATCACGCTCCGCTCCTGGCACCCCAGGCACCCCACGCTCGCCACCTCTGGGCCTCATCAGCCGACCTCGGCCCTCTCCCCTCCGCAGCCGCATCGACCCCTGGAGCTTTGTGTCAGCTGGCCCACGGCCTTCACCCCTGCCCTCACCACAGCCTGCGCCCAGACGGGCACCCTGGACATTGTTCCCAGATTCAGATCCCTTCTGGGACTCCCCACCTCCCAACCCCTTCCGGGAAAGCCCCCAGGACTACAGGGCGCAGACCAAAGACATGGGTGCCCAGGCCCCGTGGGCGCCAGAGGCGGGACCTTGAGTGGGCCAGGCCACTCTTCTATGCTCCAGCTGCCTTCGAGGAGCCACAACGTACACTGGAATGGGAGCCAGGCAGGCCTCTGCAGCTGCCTGTTTCCCCCAGGGACCCTGCCCCCCGGGGGTCAGGAACACTACACTGCACAGCAAGCCTTCACACTGGATGGGGGACCCTACTCCCTACACACACCTGTGACCTGAAGGTCCCCTTGACTTACCTGCCCCACTGGGGCCTGACACTGTACTCAGCTGGTTGAGAGGACCAGAGCCTGTCTCAGGGATTCACACCCCAGAGGTGGTGCAGGGAGGGAGGGAGGTGCAGGGGAGAGGGGCCGGCCTCAGCTGTCACCAGCACTTTTGACCATGTCCTGCTACTGTGGCCCCTACCCCAGGGCTCAGTGCCTGGACCCCCGCCCTTGGGGTCACAGGAGCCACGGCTCTCTGGGTGCCTTCCTGCTGTCCCAGCCAAGGTTGGGCCTTGGCCTTGGGATCCAATGAAGCCAAATAAACTTGTAAACTGTCTCCCCAAATGCAGCAGTTTGCCTGGAGGAAACCAGGAGACCCAGCCTGTCCTAAGACCCTGGTGTCCTCATTACCCTAATGTGGCAGACAGAGGGCCAGGGCCTGGGCTAGGATACCCCACATCACACCCCTTACCTAGGAACCCACCACTGACCTACTTGGTCATTCAGGACTGTTCTGTCTCCCGACATCCGCAGCTTGCGTCATCCCCCTCAGCCTGTGTCAGCGCCTGGCCACGTCACACCCTTCCACACACCACTGTCCCCACTGCGCTGACCATCCTTTGTCCTGGACCTCATTGGGCCTGACCAGAGCCATGTCTCCTTTCCTGGCCATGCTGCCTCAGCCATGGGCAGATCTCTGGACTCAGCCTATGGCCTGCTGGGTTGGTTTCACTTCATTCTCTTCCTGTGCTGTACCACCTTGGGCCCTACCATTCCTCACCCACCTCTGCCCATCCCACCCAGGACACCCATTATCCAGTCCCTTGTGGTATCCCTGAGCCACACTGGTCCTCAAAGGCCTGAGTCCTCAACCCAGCCCTCCCCACACCCTGCTTCTCTGCCCCAGCTGGTGGCCCTCCCACAGGATGCTCCCATTCCCTGGGCGTGTCCTGCTCAGAACCTATGACAAGGTGCAGATGTCATGTCTCGGCTAATGGCTTTCTTGGGTGGGCACCGTGAGGGAGGGGACCTGGGTCTGAGTGAAATGGGGTGTGCGCAGTGGATCCTGACGGAAGAGGTATGAGGCTCACTCTGGGCCTGGGCTTCTCACCCTGCCCTCATCCATACCACAGTGCCTTCCCCTGCTCCCCAGGCCCACTGCTGTGAAGGAGGTAGCAAGGTCTTGCCCCTGGAAACTGGGAGGAGTGCTGCAGCTCACCTCCCTGCATATGTGATCACCCCAGCCCTGCAGCAGCCACCCACACAGCACCTTCCCCCAGCCCCGCCCTGCAGGCCTCTCCCAAAGTGCCAGCAGTTCCCACAGCGCCTCAAACCCCGCACTGCACTATGTGGTTTCTGAGGCCCTGGACCCGGTATATGCTCTTGGTCATGGCCCACGTGTTGGCCATGGGGCTGGGGGCTGTGGTGCTCCAGGCCCTGGAGGGTCCTCCCGCACTCCGGCACCAGGCTGAGCTCAAGGCTGCACTGGCTGCCTTCCAGGCAGAGTTTGGGGCCTGCCTGCCACAGGGAGCCCTGGAGGAGCTGCTGGGCACGGCCCTGAGGACACAGGCCCACGGAGTCTCTGGCCTGGGCAACCACTCAGAGACCAGCAACTGGGACCTGCCCTCAGCCCTGCTTTTCACTGTCAGCCTCCTCACCACTACAGGTAAGGCCAGCAGGCAGCCCAAGAGGAAGAGGCTCTTGGGGCCATAGGTCCCTGAGGTAGGTCCCTGGGAATGCAGTCCTATCCCCGGCCCCAAAGCACCAGGCCCTGTCAGTCCGACATCACAGCTGGGACTCCCCACACCAACACATCCCAAGTGGTGCCTCCACTTCAGCTGCCAGGTGGGGTGTGGCCTCCATGGATGCATCTCTAGGAACCCTTTGAGACCTAGAAGAGATGCCCAGACCTTCCACAAGCCTCGAGCAAGGCAGGAACACAGGGGGATGGAGGGGGAGGGGAGGAGGCAGACCAAGACCACCAGCTCAGGAGGGGCATAAAGGAGTCCTGATGAGTTGTTGGCCAAGGCAAGGGGGCACCCAGCTAAGGGTTGAAGCATTTCCCAATAAAGACATCAACATATGCTTAGGCCCCCAAAAATAGAGCAGGGGACACAGCCCTGGATTTTGGGGAGCTTTGTTTGTCCTGCAAATTAATTATTTATTTATTAAGTTATTGTGGTACTGGGGATCAAATCCAGGGTCTTGCTCCTAATTTCTTTTGAAAATTCAAGAAACCACGCAGAGTCTGAATCCCCACAAGGCAACATCCTGGCTGGGGCGAAACAGGACCTGCCTCTAGGCAGACAAGAGCACAGCCTCCAGCCCCACCACTCCTTCTAATCTCTCATCAGCCTCCTCTGACCGCAGAGTCTGCAACCTCTGGACCAGCTGGTCCTGTTCTCCGGGCATGCCCTGCTCTCCCATCTTTCCTAACCGTGTGCCTATACTTCCCTGTCCTCAGATGCCTCTCCTGCTGCTGCCTCTTTGCAGCCCTACCGGTCAACACTTCCTGCTCATCCCACTTGCTGTCCCCACCCCCACCCAAATTCCAAGCCCACTCCGACTCAGATTCCAGCACCAGGCCAGGCACCTAGGAAGATAGGATGCACCTTTTGGGAGTGAAAAGTGGGTGACGTATCACCAGCCATGGATTACAAAGTGTCAGATAACAGTGGAGCTTAAGAATCTCTCTGGCTGAGGGTGCAGCTCAGTGGTAAAGCACTTACCAATGATGCCTGTACTTGCCTATCGTGCAGGAGGTCCTAGATGCGATCCCCACCACTGTGAAAAAGGAAACAGAAAGCCGGGTCTCTCTGGGGGCAGGACAGCAGTCCTCTGAATTGTCCTGAGGGACTGTCTTCATTCATTTCATTTCTTGGAAGTATCTGGGAGAGGTAAAGGGACTTGCCCCAGGATCCACAGTAAAGAAGCTGAGCCTGGAGGCTATGCAACTTTGGCCACCAGAGGGCAGCGTTCCCCTGGTGGCCATGGAGAACGTGGGGGAAGCCCCACCTGTAGGAATCCTACTGAGGAGCTCACTGCCAGCTCCCTCTCTTCTGCAGGTTATGGCCACATGGCCCCACTCTCCACAGGCGGAAAGGTCTTCTGTATGGTCTATGCAGCCCTAGGAGTGCCAGCTTCCCTAGCACTTGTGGCTGTCCTGCGCCACTGCCTGCTGCCTGTGCTCAGCTGTCCAGGTGCCTGGGTAGCCAGTCGCTGGCAGCTGGCACCGACCAGGGCTGCACTGTTGCAGGCAGCAGGGCTGGGCCTTCTGGTAGCTGGCATCTTTGTGCTGCTGCCAGCACTGGTGCTGTGGGGTCTACAGGGTGACCGCACCCTGCTGGAGGCCATCTACTTCTGCTTTGGGTCGCTCAGCACCATTGGCCTGGGAGACCTGCTGCCAGGCAATGGCCAAAGCCTGCATCCGGTGATTTACCAGCTTGGCCAGTTTGCACTTCTTGGTAAGTAGGAGCCTCGACTATGAGCCCCATGAGCCCCAGGGAGCTGCATATCACAGGGATGAGATCCTCCCTCAAACACTGTTTGGAAATTGTAGTCTAAAGGATCGGAGGCAGAGCACCTGGGGCCAGTGTGGTCACCATGCTGGGAGGTAGGTGGTGAGCATCATGGGCACCACAAGAGCTGCCCTAGCACTTTCCTTCCCAGGTTACTTGCTCCTAGGGCTCCTGGCCATGCTGCTGGCAGTGGAGACCTTCATGGAGCTGCCACAGGTCTGTGCCATGGTGAAGTTCTTTGGGGCCAGTATTCCCGTGACCACTGAGGACCAAGATGGCATTGTAAGCCAGGATGAGCTGGCTTTGAACAACTTGCCTCCTGCCACCCCTGCATCCGAACAAGCCCTGGCTTGCAGACAGGTGTCAGATGACTCTGTGTAGCTTCTCTGAGGTAGCAGATCCTGAGGAGGAAGCAGCCATGAGTCCTTGGGGAAGAATCTGGAGATGGCAAGATGATGGTGCTGAAGATTTTAGGGAATGATGCATTAATTTTTTAAAAAGGCAACAACTCAACTTTGTTTTTGTGTCTTGTTTTTTTCAGTACTGGGGACTGAGACACAGTTTGGTTAGGCTGGACTAGAACTTGGTGGTCTTCCTGCCTCAGCCTCTCACAGAGCTGAGATTTCACGTGTCCACCACCACACCCAGCTACACGTCTTCCTTTGAAATGAGACTCCACTCAGGCAATCATCCTTAGAAGGCCCAGGTCCTTCCTCAGGAGGCATCTGGGAACCATCAATCCCCCAAGGCTGCCCAGGTCTAGAGTAGCAGTGACCTCCTAATCCATTATCAGCCTAAGCCCCACCCTCTTCTGTCTACTGAAGCCCAAGCCATCCTGAGAATGGGCCAGTGCTGCTGTGCCCTTGTCCAACTTTATGGCTGGTGAGGAACAGGAAGGGGAGGAGGCACAGGTGCCTTCCCCACACTGTCCCTCTCCCCAGGCAGCCAGCCAGGCTCCGAGCTGGGAAAGGGTCCTGCTCAGCGCACTGCAAATACACAGACACGCGTGCACGCGCACGGCACACACTCATACAGATGAATAAATACGGGCAACCCAGGGAGGGCGTCCCCAGGCCAGGCCAGGGCAGGCCGAGGCAGGCTCAGCTCAGTACGCATCGTTCGCGCCGGCTCAGCTGCCGGCTCAGCTTGCGGCGCCGCTGCTCCAGACCGCGCGCCAGGCGCTCATCCTCCTCCAGGGCGCTGCGGGGAAGGAGGGAGAGCACGTCAGCCCCAGTGTCTACTGCCGCCAGGGCTCCAGACCCAGCACTCCCAGCTCAGATGAGCCCCCACTTACATCCGCTCCTTTTGGTCCAGGTCCCGGACCAGCTCATCACGCTGGTTCACCAGTGACACCAGCTCCTCCAGCAGTAGCTGTTCTCGGTGTTGCTGTGTGGCTGTTTTCTGCCAATCTGAGACCCCAAGAGCCCAAGTCAGGTGGCGCTGGGCCAGGTCGTCCTACCTTTGCCCCTCTGTCCCTGTCTCCCACCTTCGATGGCCAGCATGGCACGCAGCTCCCGGCTCAGCAGCTCGAACTTACGCTCCAAATCCTGCTCCTCGATGCTGTGAGGCAAGGGGACCAGGTCAGGGGAGGGGAGCGCAGGGCTCTAACCACTCCCACCCCAGCCCACCTCCGGTCCTCCCCATAGAGGGCAGGGCTGAGCACAGAACCCTACCTGCTTTACCCTTTAGAATTCTTTGTTCCAACTGGCCTCTGATTACTAATGCTTATGTTGCTTCCCTGCCCCCTCTCATAAAATAAAAAACAAACTATTTAAATAGAAGCAACAGGCTACAATCATCCTGGAACAGTGCAAATGTGGATAGGCAAGGCTGTCTCTATCAAGTGGCTGACCTGAGCAGATCTCTAAGACCTGCTTTCCCTATTGCAGGGTCATACTGGAGGGCTTAGCCCTGACCTGCCAAGGGCACTCTGTTCTTAGCCTCAGTTTTCTCATCAATAAAGATAGTACTCCTTGGTGCATGAGATATGGGTGACTGAACCCAAGGCTTTCGTACTGTGCCACATCCAACCATTTATTTTGAGACAGGGGCTAAGTTGCCCAGACTGCCTCAAACTTGCAATTCTCCTGCCTCGGCCTCCCAGAGGACTGGGATTATAGGTACGCACCCCTACGCCTGGCAAGACAGTACCAGTTTAGGAAGTATACAGGTTGCATAGAAAATAGGCAGGAGAAAAATTACTAAGGTGGCTGAACAATAATTTGTTTTCCATTTTTTTTTTCTGAACAATAATTTTAAAAAGATCTTTGCAGAAAGAAGAGAACAGGGGCTGGGGATTTAGCTTAGCGGCATAAGCGCCTGCCTTGCAAGCCCATGGTCTTAAGTTTGACCCCCGGTACCGATAAAAAAGAAAGAGAAAGAAGAGAACAGTAAACAGCAGTTCTAACCGAAGTACCTTAGCTGACTCCCTGTCCTCCGAACTCTACCCACAGTGACGGAGCTCTGGCTAAGGGCCCCAGTGGGGCCTGAGTAGGTGAGGCAGGGCCTTGGAAGGGCGTGACCGAGATGTGGGGTGGGGTGGGGACGGGGCGGGGCAGCACTCACAGCAGCTGCAGCTGGTCCTGCCTCCGGATGAGAGCATTCTTCTTGTTGACCAGTGTGAACCATTCCTGGATCAGAACCTCCTCCTGCAGCCGGTTGGTACCTGACAAGCCACAGTAGGCCCGCTCAGAGCAGGGTGGGCGAGGCCTGGGGGAGGGGACCTCCCCCAGGGATGCTTGTCCTATCCTTGAGGCCGATGCTGTATCTCCAGGAGGCTGCTTCCCCATGTACCCACCATAAAACGCCTTCCAGTTCCCTTTCCTCCCAGGTCCGCCCCAGGCCTGACAGAGCCTCGGGGCTGGGCGGACATGGTGTCGGGAAGGAGTGGGCCCCAGGTACCCACCCACCTGACTCCATGAGGCTCCTCAGCTGCGTCTCCACCTCGGCAGCCCGTCTGTCTATCTGCCTCTGCTCCTGTTCCAGGGCCTGCAGTTCTGCACACACGTACTGACTTGTGTCCTGGAACCGTTGCTGGGGATGATGGGGGTGGGGGTAGGGGACAGATGGGTTCAGCAGGCTCTGCCTAGGAAGTGCACAACCTCAGCCTCCCCATTTTAGCCCTCCTTACCAATCCAACCTCCTCCGCTGGACTTGAAGGTGGCTCTTCCAATGTGGGGCTTCCACCTGCAGGCAAAGACCAAGCTAAGGTACCCTAGTGAACAAGCACCCCTAGGTACCAGGTAGGTCCCAATCCAGGATTTTGGAGAGGCCTGCGCTAAGCCACACCTCCTCCCAAAGTACTCACCCTGAGGCTGCTGTGGGGCTGGGGCTGTGGGTGGGCCAGGGGCAGGGCTGGGGTCCGGACTCTGGGCTTCCTGTGGAAAAATGGGGCCAATGAGGAGGGCTGGGAGGGGGGACCCCAACAGCCCAGCCAGAGCCTCTCACACACAAGGGAGGCAAGCTCCTTGATCCTAGACACCCCACCATCCCCCTCCACCATCCCCACCCCGCCAGCCACTTCTCCATCTTGCGGGCCACCTCCACACACTTTTCGAGCAAAGGCCAGCCCTTCACTTCCCAGCCCGTGGTCTTGGGCCTGTACATGGCCATCCCCTTAACCTCAAAGTCCTCATTCTTGGAACTGGGCTGATAACCCTGACCCCCCAGAATGACAGTCAATGCTGCAAATCTGGGAAGCGCCCAGCAGGGGTGTCCTCTGTCCTCCTCCATGCAGCCCCCTCAGGTCACCTGTGACTCCTGTCACTTCACGCTGGCATCTCCATCGCTGCCGGGGGCCCTCTGAGGTAACACTGAGGGGCCTCAATACAGCCTCATCTCTCAACCTAGGGTGTCCTAAACTGGCACTGCCATCTCCCAACCAAAAGAGGGCGCCCTCCCACCATATTGGTTCCCATATTTAGAACCCGTTACGGCCCTAGGGAATCACTCAGATCCAGATAGGTTGGTTGGACCTACAGTGGTACCCTCCTGTGGCCCATTCCTCTGGTGACTTGTGGAAACTGTCAGTGCTGGGGGCCTCCAGCTTTGAGCTGTCATCTTGGTTCAAAGCTGACAGACTGGCCCCCTTGATGAGCTGCTCTAGCCATCCTTCTGGGTTGCAGGATGGGGAGAAGAGGCTGACAGCCCATACCTGCCTCTACCCATACCCTCTGAGAGGCAACCCTGGCCCTACGTGCCCTCCTTTCCAGTCAGTGGTGGCCTCCTCACTGACTGCAGCCATCCCCTGCCTGCAGCTCTGCCCTCAAGCCACAACTCTGAGAGGTCTGAAACTCTCTCCCAGTGGTGTAGTTCTGCACCCCTTCTTGGCCCTTGGCCTCACTGCCAAGGCCTTGGGCAGCTCCAGTCTCAACTCCCCAAGCCCCGCCTAGATGCCCCGCTCTGACCACAGTGCTGGACTTTCAGTTTCAGTGCTGAACTGAGTCAGGGCTCCCCCAGAGGCCCCCACATCTCTCAGTCTCCTTCCTGACCCTCAAGCCTCCTAAAGCCTGGACTGGCCCATGCTGACCCCAGGGCCACCTCCAGGGAAGCTGGGAGCCAGCCACCTCCTGGTGCCAGTTGATTTCACAGGGCCCCCTGACCAGAGGGAGCCTCTTTAGAGTTCCCCAGTGTGCTGATTAATAATGGCTAGTGTTGGGGGGGATTTAGCTCAGTGGCATAAGCGCCTGCCTTGCAAGCGTGTGGTCGTGAGTTTGATCCCCCGTACCGATAAAAAAAAAAAAAAATAATGGCTAGTATCAGGCTGGGGATTTAACTGAGCACCACAGCACCGACTAGCAAGCCCAAGGTCCTGAGTGTAATTCCTCGTACCCACCAGGGGAAAAAAAGGCTAATGCCACTTAAGCATCTACACAGCATGTACACACATCGATTCATTTCCATCCGCTGTTTTCCCACAACCACCCTGTCAGGCAGGCTTGTTCCCTCTCCCACTTTACAGACAGGAAACTGATGCTCAGAGATGAAGCTCATGCAGAATATGGCCACACGGGGTTGTCTAACCCTCTAGCCCCCTAATTTTTATTTTTATTTACTACTTTTTGGCAATCCTGGGGATCTGGACGCTGGGCCTTTGAAACAGGGTTTCACTAACCCAAAATTTGTTCCTCACTGGGCTTGTGTCCTGATATGCAAAATAGGTCAAAACCTCAGCACTGTGTTGACTGAGGAGTTACAGTACCCTAGAAAGGCATCTGGAGAAACACACACAGCTCTCGGCCCTTTCTGACAACATCTGCAGTCTTGCCCTCTGGGCACCTTGCAAAGGGGGTTGTTCCTCCCCCTCCTCTTGCGGAGAGGGCCCCAAAAATTGAAAGCCTTGCCCTGGGGTCACACAGCCAGGCAACAGTGCTAGGCCCAACAAGAGGGCACTATTTAAGAACTCAGGTGCTCCTGGGCCTGTAATGCCAGCACTCTGGGAGACTGAGGCAGGGAATTAGAAACTTCCACCCTAGCAAAGGCAATTCACTAATTTAGTAAATCCTGCTCTCAAAAATACAAAACACAAAATAAAGGTCTGAAGAAGTCAGACGTAGTGGGGCATGCCTATAATCCAGCATTTGGGAGGCTGATGCAGGAGGATCATAAGTACAAACCTATCAGGGCAATTTAGCAAGATCCTGTCTTTAAAAAAAAGGGCTAGATCATCAGATGTGGTGCCCACTCCTGTAATCCTAACATTCAAGAGGCTGAGGCAGGAGAGGCACTGAGTTTGGAAGCCAGCATGGAGTACAGAGTGAGTTCAAGTCCAGCCTGAAATATATAGTGAGACCCTATCTCAAAAAACAACAAAAAAGGCCAGGCATGTTGGCTCACTCTGCAATGCCAGCACTTGGGAGGCTGAGGCAGGAGGATTATCAAGGTTAAGACCAGCCTGGACTACATAGGGATACCCTGTCTCAAACACCACCATCACCCCCACCACCACCACCACCACCACCACTCACAGAAAAAAAGAAAGAAAGGTGCTGAGGGTATAGCTCTGTATTACAGGCTTGGGTTCAATTCCTAGTCTGTCTGGGGGTGGCCCCCCCCCCCGGTCACACACACACACACACAAAACAGACTTAAAACCAGTAGTTCTTCACTTGGACCTAAAGACAAGATGCCTAATAGGTATCTAATAGCAGAACAAAGCTTTACCTTTTCTGTTTGTTTGTTTTAGTTTTTGGAGACAGGGTCTCACTATGTAGTTCAGACTGGCCTTGAACTTAAAGCAATCCTCCTGCCTCAGCCTCCTGAGTACTGAGATTACAGACATGTGCCACCACATCTGGCTTGGCTTTCATTTCTATCTCCTTTATTACCTTAAATCTTTGGGTTAGATCCTTGTTCAGTTCTGGATATAGGTACATGTTCATTTAGGGAGTATCTGTCTGAAAGCTGGCAAAACAAAGTTGATTATCTCTAAATGTATATAAATTATCTCACCTGCCATCAAAACTAAAGACACCAACATAAGAGATTCACAGAGACATCTGCTATGCCCAGAAGCCTCCAGTCCTAAACCTGTGGTCACCTGGGATTGCAGCAGAACCTCACAACCCTGTGAGCGCCCCACACAGAAAGTCACCTCCTGGAGACAAGACTGCCCCCTTGAGCAAAAAGAATGCACCCTAGAGCCATCACACAAAAGCAGAACTGAGATCAAAATCCCCAAAGCCTGGCGCACACCAGTGAATCTCCACTACTAAGCCCAGTCAGAGCTTCCTCATCGTCTGAGTGTCCCATTCAGTCCCCTCTGGTCTCTTACAGACCAGTCAAAGCTTTGGCTTGTGACATTCATGCTGACCACCTGGGCTTTAATTGCCAGCATCACTGAAGCAAGGACCCATGCTAGCTGCTGACATTCCCACCGATCAAATGGGGTGCCTGCTCCTCCCCAGAAAAGGCACTGAGGGACATTGAGCGGTCAAGGGGACAAGGCCAGCCAGAAGAAAAGGGCTCAGCGACAGGGCCAGCGGAGGCAGGCAGGGAGAAAGCCAACCTCAGCAGCAATCGCGTTTACTCACACCAGCCCTGATGGGAATTCTAATGCTGCTTCCTCTCAGCTGACCCAGATTCCTCTTTCTGTGCCCGAGTGTTCGGGCCCCTCCTTAGGGAGCCTTGCTGGCCCACAGCACAAGCACCCTGCTCTTCTCAGGGGTGTTACTTCAGCCCCACCCAGCTCCGAGGCGCCTGATCGCACCCTATTCCAGGCCTCTAGAAGCTCAGAAGAGTGAGGCCTGACAGAACCATCCTGCCACACGAATGTAAAAGGAACGGGAAGAACACAGCCAGTGAGGAGGAGTCTCCTCCATCCAGCCCCATGCATCAGATATCTCCGCTGGGGCAAGGCCTGGAGGAGAGCCAGGCTTGGAAAGACCAGATGCTGGGACTTGAGCCCAGAAGAGTGTAGGTTGGAGTCTCCCTTTTAAGATTTAAAGAGCTACTAACACCCGTCAACCAGCCAAGCTACAGGAAGCTGTGTTCCACTGATTCCTGCCTCCTGCATCCCCATTAGGTGGCCCCAGTGCACTCTGGGTCTCTCTCATTCCCAGGCTCAGCTCTGCGCCTCTGACCAGACACTCTAGGGTCTGGCTCTCAGCCTGACCCACACCACCCAGGCACCTTTCAGGAGTTCTTTCTGGCAGTTCTCTAAATGGGCCCTGAGCTTCCCAAGGCCATATATTGCTGGTGTAGGTTCCTCCACTTGAGAATGACCTTATGTCTTTCAACTGGGAAAACCCAGCCCCCTTAAACTAGCCTGAAGGCCATTGCTTCCTCTAGAAAACCTTCCCCAATTTATGCCTTCCCTCCCTCCAAACGGAAGGGTCATCGCTGGGCAGGTGCCAGTGCAGTGGCCTGACCAGGCCACTTCTGCTGCCCCAGAACACAGCTGGAAAGCCCCTGGCATTGCCTGTTTTGTTGTGTTTTTTGACACAGGGTCTTATGGGAAGCTCAGGGCAGCCTCAAGCTCACCATATAGCCCCAGGTGCCCTCTAATGGCCCTCCAGCCTCAGTCTTCAAGTGCTGCATGACAGACATACACCATCACAACTGCCTGGCCTGGACATCAGTGCTGTGAGGCCTTGAGTCAGTCCCTGTTCTCTCCAGGGCCATCTCCCTTTCAGCATAGTGACAAAAGGCCCTGGAAGACTGACCTGAGACCTCAAAGGAACAGGGATGGGGACGTAGGCCTCCGCAGAGTCTCCCACCTCCAATCTCCCATTATAGGAAAAGGAGAAGCTGGCTGTGATGGCACAGCCTTTAACCCCAGCACCCTGAGAGATGAGACAGAAGGATCCAGCCTAGCCTGGGGCAACTTAGAGAACAGGGAAACCCTGTCTCAAAATAAAAAACTAGAAAGGACTGAGGATACACCTGGATCCAATTCCCTATACAACGAAGGAAAGAAGGAAGGAAGAAAGGGGAAGAAAGAAAGGAAGAGAGAGAAGGGGAGGTCAGGCATGGAGGCTCATGCCTATAATCCTAGTACTCAGGAGGCTGAGGCAGGAGGAAAACCTCTAGCAAATCCCATGCTGGCAGCAGAGACCCGGTCTTTCTTGGGCCACCTGGTGGTTGTTGGCTAGACCACCTGTGCCAGGCTTTCTGTCCACAGTACCTGGGTCCTGCTGAGCCAAAAGTACCTCTCTGTGTCCAGCTATGCCCCCCTGCTCTTAAGCTGCCAGCCCCATCCTTGGGGACACTCTGCCAAGCTCCCCACCACCCAGCCCTGCAGCTGTAAGGGGTACTCACCACTGCTGTGGCCGTGCTTCCTGCAGCTCCCGCATCCGGCTCATCTACCGAGAAGGAGTTGCTGTTGCGCAGCCTGGAGCGCCGCTTCTTCAGCAGATCGGCGTCGCGCACGTGGGAGAAGGACCCATGAGCACGAGGTGGTGGCACCGGGCCAGCCTCCCCGCTGACTGACGGCTGTCGCAGTCTGACACCTCCAGTGCCTGCGGTCTCTCCGGCCCCATTTACCAGCCCCTCCGCTGGGGGAACTGGGGCTGCGGGGACGTCAGCGGCGGGGACCCCTGGGGGACTCGCTTTCCTAACTGCCTTGTCCGCGTAGTCACTGTCCTTAGGGGCGCAGCCTGCATCACTGCCTGCGGCCTCCGTGATGGAGTCCTCCGCGCGGCTCGCTGCCTCCTTGGGCTGCTTGGGCGCCTCAGCCCCGCGCTCGCGCAGCCGCTGGGCCAGGTTGCCGGCGTCCAGTCCGTCGGGCAGGCTTGGTGTGGCGCTGCCCACACGGTACGTGCCGCTGCCATCACCGCCCTTCAGCTGCACAAGCTGCAGCTCCTGGCCGGTGCAGAACGCACGGATCTGACACAGGTACGTCATGACGATAAGTTTGTCGGGGACCGACAGCAGCACCATATCCGCGGGCTCCAGCAGCCGCGACACGCCCAGGGCTGCGAAGGCATCGAAGGCCTAGGAAAGGTGGGCACACTGTCAGCGGCTGCGGAGGCGGGCCCTGCGTCACTCAGCAACGCAGGGGTCTCAAGGACAAGCACCCCAGGGTTTGCCTAGCGACGCTCTGAGCCCCTTCCCTCCACCCCCCGGCAGAGGGACTCCTGGCAACAGCTTCCGCCCTCCTGTTACCTAGCAACAGCACACCACCCACTCCCATTACCAAACAGTCCCGTTTTGGAAAAACCATCTAGGAGAATGAGGCTTTTTTAAAAAAAATGTCAAAAACAAAACTAAGGAAAAACAAACTATTTAATGTTAAAAAACAGTAGAACATGTCCAAAAACCACTGCTAGGGCCTGGCAGCCCACAGCTTCCCGTCCTTCGCCTGCAGCCTCTTTCCAGCCCTGGCTCCCTCCCTCCTCACCTGCTTGTTGTTCTGCTTGATGTTGAGTGGGTCGAGGGAGGCGTAGTCACTGCAGAGAGGGCACTCATCAGAAGCTGGACCCACAATGCCCTCCGCCCAACTCCCCATTTAACCCACCACACCGGCAGCTCACATCTTGTCAGGATAGAATCGGTGCAGGATGGCACAGAAGGCCAGGCCATTGCGCCAGGATGTGGTGAAATTGGTGATTCGGACACCACGGTAGCCAGTGGTGACCTCCTGGCACCACTCCAATAGGGACTGGCTGGAATTGACCAGGGCAGGTGGTGCCTAGTGACACAGGATCAGTTTAGAGGGTATGTTCCCAGGATCAGAGCCCAGCTACCCCTTGGGGAGGCTCTGTCAACCAAACAGTCTCAGCTGAGAGTTTTCAGAGGTCATCAGAGACCACTGGACAGAGCTAAGGGTTTCCAGCTCAAGAGGGATCTGCCAAAGTCATGTAAAAGGTCAGTGGACCCAAGCAAGATCAGAGGATACCAGCAGTCACACCTCAAGGTCAGTCCAGAAAATCAGCTTAGGGGTATCCAGCTCCATGCATCCCGGCCCAGGGAAGTCAAAGTGGGAAAGCCAGGGCATCCTGAGGAAGCAGGGTTGAGGGGCTCCTTGCAGCTGAGCCCCCCACTTCATGCCATCTCAGTCTCAGGTGGGTCCACGTAGAGATGCTGTTAGCGTGGCCCCAAGTTAGCAGAAAGAAGCAGGCGGGGCCCTCAGCGGCCCCCATCCCTACCTGGCTGCCCGGCAGCCTCCTGTCCTCTTCAGGCTCCTCTGGGGAAGAGGCACCTGAGGGCCTGGGCACCCCAGCCCCTGCCCCACTGGCCACCTGTGCCTCAGTCAGGCCAGCCTCTGGGATGCCTCCCTTGGCTTCTTTCCCCTTCTCGGTTCCCAAGACCCCAGCCTCTGTTTCCTGGGCCTCAAAAATACCAGATTTAGTCTCTGTAGACTCCAAAACTGCTATTTCTGATTTCTGGATCCCCAAAACCCTAGATTTGGCCTCTGACACCCCCAAAGTCCTATCTTCTGCTCCCTGGACTCTCAGAGCTTTAGTCTCCGCTCCATGTATTCCTGGAACCTCTGCCTCCACTTCCTGGAATCTTAAAACTCTTTGCTTTGTGATTGGGACCTTTAAAGCCTCATCATTGAGAGACCCCTCAACTCCAGCCTCTGCTTTCTGGACCCCCAGAGTCTCAACTTTTACCTCCTCAGCCTCCAAAACTGTAGTTTCTGCCCTTTGGGTCCAAACTACCTCAGCCTCTGGCCCTGAGCCCTCTGAACTCTTAGCTGCTATATCCTGGGGCCTCAGCATTTCAGTTTGTGCCATCCTGGTCTCCATCTTTGCCTTCTGGGGCTCTGATTTCTCCAACTCTGCTTTCTCAGCTTCTATCCCTGGGACCCCTAAACCCCCTACTATCTCCTGAGTCCCCAGTATCTCACTTTCTGCTATTTCTGCTTCCATCACTGAAACCTCTGAAGTTTCTACCTCTGTCTCCAGGGTCTCAGACTCCTCAGCTTCTGTTGTTCCAATCTCTACCCCTGGGGTCCCCAAAACCCCAACCTTTCTCTTGTGGCTCCCCAGTGTCTCAGACTCGGACACCAGAGCTTCTATCCCCAGCACCCCTGAGCACTTAGTTGCTATCTCCTCTGTCTCTAACATGTCAGCCTCTTCCTCCTCAATCCTTGGATCTGGTACCCTAGAACCTCCCACTTCTATACTCTGGGCCTCCACTATCTCAGCTTCTATCTTCAGGACTGTGGAGCCCTCAGATACCCCCGGAGTTCCCCGTATCTCAGACTCTAACATCCCAGTCTTAGTGCCCAGAACTTTCAGATCTTCACCGTCAACTCTCTTGATCTCCAATACTTCAGACTCTGCCATTCCATTCTCTGTCCCTGGCATCCCTGAAACCCCTACCTCTGTTTCCTGGGCCCCCAAAATCTCAGACTCTGCCATCTCAGCTTCTAGCCCTGGAACCCCTGATCCCTCGGCTGCTGTGTCCTGGGTCTCCAGGATTTCAGCCTTTGTCTCCCCACCCTCCATCTCTGGTTCCTCAGAATCTCCCACCTCTTTCTCCTCAACCCCCAATATCTCAGGCTCTTCCACCCCAGTCTTTGTTCTCAGAACTGCTGAACCCCCAGTCTCTATTTTCTGAGTCCCCAATACTTCAGAGCCTGCTATCTCAGACTCTTTTCCCACCATTCCTGGAGCCCCTGTCTCCTGGGCCCCCAGTACCTCCAACTCCTCTGGCCCAGCAGCCTCTGACTCCAAGACCTCTGATCTTGCTGTCTCTGTCCCCTGGACCCCCAATATCTCAGTATCTGCTGGCCTAGTCTCTATCTCTGAAAACCCTGATCCCCCTGCTTCTGTCTCCTGGTTACCCAACACCTCCCACTCCACCTGTCCAGCTTCTGCTTCCAGGACTCTTGACTCCTCAGCTTCTGCCTCCCAGATCTTCAGATCCTTAGGTCTTGCCCCCAGCTCCGCTGAGGATGGCAGCCCCTGAAACCTGCTCACCTGGGGCCTGGTGCTTGCTGATCCAGCAGAAGGGCCCTGCTCCAGACCTGTCCTCTCAACACCAGAGGCTATGTCCCTTATCTCCACATCCTTTCTCTTCTGGCCTGCAGCGTCCCTAGCCCCTCTTTGATCACCCAGATACCCAGAATACCCTGCAGGCTCTCCTGGAAATGAGCTCAGCCCTGTGGGAGTCTCTTCCTGCACCCTGACCCCCATCTTCCCTTGAGAGCCCCTTGGAGGTGCCTCAGGAGTCACCCTGAATCTTGCCTCAGGCATAAGCCCCGCAGCCTCTGGTCCTGTATCTGCCACAGGGCTCACCACTTGTCCCTGCTCGGTCTCAAAGCCACTCCGTGCTGGACTCCCCTGAGTCTTCTCAGCTGTGCGCCCTGACCTCTTGGTCCTCAGCTCTCCTCCTGCCCCTCGCTCACTGTCTGCCCCACCAACCTCTGACCTGTCCCCAGTCGCCCTCTCTTCAGCTTTGGGTCTCAGCCCTCCCAAGGTGTCTTTGGAGTCCATATGTGCAGTGTCCAAGCTAGGCCTGGCTCCCTGGGCTTCTGTCCCTTCCTGGGGGCTTGTCCCAGTCTGGGTCTCCCCAGGAGAACCTACTCCTGCTGGGGGAGCCTCTGAGGCAATGGCATTGGGGACCTCGTTTCCCTCTTGGAGGACTGGGGACTGAGGGGCATCTGAGCCTTTCCGGAGCCGAGGGGCCGGGGTGGGGGCCATGTCCTGGCTTGGCTGCCTCGAGGACCTAAGGAGAGAGCAGGAGAGAATATTGGAGGAGGACTCCTGTGCACCTCAATCACAGCTCCACTCCTCTTCTTCAGATTTCTGGGGCACTGAAAAGGCAGCCAGAGGAACAGCACCTAATAGCAACAGGGCTGGGGCTGGTTCCAGATCTCACCTTGCCTCTGCTGGGGTTCCTGGGGGCCCCACCTGGCCCCCGGCTATTATAGCTGGTTCTGATCCCTGGCTCCGGGAGGCCCTGGCCGGGGGCACAGGGCCACTCACAGGGGTTGAGCTGGAGTCCTCAGTTTTAGTAGGGCTGGCATCTGGGGAGGAAGAGATAGAGATAGGGCGCTGAGGCCTGGGCCCTGTGACCTCAGGTCTGGTCCCCATCCAGAACCCCACTCCAGACCTCACCTGCCTGCCTTGGGTGTACTTGGCCCTCATCCTCCTCACAAAGTGTCTTCAGCTCTTGAGAGGGATCTGCAGGGGGGGTAGGGAGGTGTTATGGAGGGCAGCATCAGCTCTGAACAGGGCCCTGCAGATCAGACCCCTCCTCCCAACTAGAGTTCCGGGCCTACCTGGGAAACGCCCCAGCCTCAGGGCACTGCCCAGACCTGCAGAAAGGACAGGCCCACAGTTGCAGATAGAAAGGAAGACAGACAGAGACGGAGACAGAGACAGAGACAGAGACAGAGACAGAGACAGAACATGAACATGAACATGAACATGAACATGAACATGAACATGAACATGAACAGAGAGAAAACCACAGGAACAGACAGGCAGAAAATCTTGATGAGTAGCTGGAAGGACCAGGCCATCAGTGGGGAGGGGAGAGAAGGTAAAGGGGAAACTGGACTGCAACTACCCTGGACTTTGGACTCAGCTTCTCAATTCGGGTTTAGGTCAGGCAGGCAACCACCAGGGGGTGGGAGGGCCAGGAGCACCGGGTGGTGCTAGGAACCCATCCTGCAGGATTCAGCCAAGCACTGAGTTCACCAGGACCACAGACAAAGCTGGGGTTGCCGGGGAGGTTGAGACCTCCGGGTAGGAATGCACTCCTACCACTGGGGGTGCAGAGTGAGCCTACAACCAGTGGTGTGTGGCCCATGTGCCTCCCACACCACCTTGGCCTTGGCAGCTTCAACCTGCAGCAGGCTTGGGCCCACCTGGCTGGGAGCCTCGAGCCCCGGCCTCAGGGACCCCTGAGCCATTGGCCTCGTCCTCGTCACTCTCAGCAAAGTCCTCCAAGTTTCCCACATCACTCGGCTTCACGCTCATGAGGCTGGCCAGACTCTGCATGTCATCATCCCTGGTGGTCAGAGGTCAGGGGTGAGGGCTGGGGTCGGAAATCACAGGGCAGGGCTAAGCAGGGCAGGGGGCACTCACGTAGCTCGGCCCTCCCGCAGCAGCACCCCTGAGAGGGTGAGGCTCAGCTCCGCCTGTACCACCTTCACTGACTTGGGCTTCAGCCGCAGCCGCAGCGGTACCTGGGCTGGCACAGGCCCTGCATGGCGGGCCAGGTCCACCTCGGCTGAGGCCAGCACCTTCCGCTGTCCCTTCGACTCCTGAGGGAGAGGGGGACACAGTGAGGGAGATGGGCACAGTTCTAAGTCCCCTGAGACCCCAGGCCCTGCCCACAATGGCACTCACACTCTCAATGATAAATGTCCACTCTTTGGCTTCATAGTGGTCCACATGGGGGTCCTGGGGGAAGAGGCCAGGTGAGCAGAGGGCAGTGCAGGGAGAAGGGCTGTGCTAGCAGGGAAGGTACCCCAGCTTCTCATCCCGGCTGCCTCCTCCAAGAAGCCTCCTGGACTGCTTATGCTGAGTACGCCTCCCCCACACTCTCAGCCCCATCCCTCTCTTCTTTCCTATTTGGATAAACAGTCTACCAGGACACCCTCTAGCTGCCCACAGCAATTGGCTGACCATTCCCCTGTGTGTCGGCGAGAAAGGGACTCACTCTGTACAGGGTCACCGAGATATCCACGTTCTCAGGCACCATCCACACCACAGTGCCCCGGTATGGGTTCTGGATGCCCGGCTGCCAGCTGTGGGCCTGCAACAGGTACCCTGAGTCCTCCTCCAAGGCTTAATCCCCCCTGTTCCCCCACTGCCTTATCTCCAACCTTGACACCATCTTCTTCTTCCCTGTGCATCGTCCCATCAGCCTTCCCTTGGCCCCCTTTGCTTGAATTGAGATCCAGGCCCCCAGTCGCCATCCTCCTTACCTTGGAGCAGATGCGTCTGTTCCGCCGGGTCCACACCACCACCAGCTTGTCTGGCTGCCTGGAGAGGGGCCAGGGTTGCTGCTCAGTCAGGCTCAACCAGCCTCCCCATCCCCTCTGCACCTTCTTCCTTCCCCAACTTCCACAGGGTCTTCCTTCTGACCCTGTCCTCCTCTCTCTGGGAGGTCTCTTATCTGGGGCCACAGGGTGAAGGTGGGGCTGCTGAGGCAGGGTGGAGCTGAGGCAAAGGGCAAAGGCCCAGAGAACATGGGCCAGCAGGGACAGCGAAGGAACACACCTAGGGCTGGAGACAAGACAGAGGAACACAGACTCGGACACAGGAGGCAGCAGAGCCTCTGAATTATTTGTGAGCCTGTCCACTATAAAACCAGCCCAGTTTGGGGGACAGAACAGAGAAAAAAGAAAGGCAGCACCCTTCTGGAGCTGAGGGCAAGGGAGCCAGGGTGACAGGGCCTGGTGGGGGAAAAAAAAGCAAATGCTCACGCTAACCCCAGGGGCTTGTGAGGGACACTCTCGGGTCTCCGTGAGAAACCAGGATGAGTATCAGGGCAGAGGCACAGTGGCTGAGGGACAGGTCACAGAAGAATCTGCAGAAAGTGGGCTCCAGGCAGAGGGAAGGGCAAGTGCAAGGCTCTGTGACTGGAGGAAGGGCAGGGACAGCAAGGGGCAGAAGATGGGCATACAACACAGCAAGACAGGGCCGGCTCATCCCCGGATTCCCTTTGCTTGCCTCACAGGTCCCAAGCAGTGTCAACCAGAATCCAGAGTCATGGACCAGGCTTTGCAGGGAGATGATGATTATAATAATAGAGCCTAGAGGAGGCCAGGGAGGACTTCTAGGTGGTAGGTGACATCTAAACTGAGCAGCATATGCAAGGCCGATTGTGAGGAAAGGCAGGCATGCGCAGAGGCAGAGACAAAGTAAGAGGAGACAGCAGGCTGCATAGGGCCTACTCCCCAACAGAGGTGATGTGGCTGGCTCCAGAGAAAAGGAACCCTTTGGGTTAGTTCCCAACCTCCCCACTGGAGGATGGGAATGGATAATCGGAGAGCCAGGCAAAAGGGACTCGGTGATCCTCCTCACCTGTTCCTAGCCCCCTGCCAGGATACTCAGGTATACCCACCCCCTTGAGAGCCAAGGTAACTGGCTCTCCTGTTAACCCTGGAGGACCCTGAGCTCCAGAGAGACACCAAGGTGGGTTGCATAGCTGAGCCTTGAGCCTCCCAACGCAGAGCTAAGCTCCCTCCCCCAACCCCAAACTGCAGGCCAGGGCTAAGCAAGGAAAGCCAAGGGGCCTTCCCAGAAAGAGGAAGCACACAAGGGTTGCCTTCAGAGGGTGGGGCTGGCCGGGCTGCCTGACTCAGGCCAGACACGCCCTCCAGGAGAGCGGTGACATGGGCAGGGACAGCTTCCTAACTTGGGCTCCAGGATAAGAAGCCAGAAGGCCCTATCCCACTGCCTGTGACTCAGCTGCACTAACACTGTCTGCACCCTAGGCCTGCTCTCCAGGACCCTGCCAGCGCCCCCTAGCCTCTCCCAGAGGCCAGGTTTCAAGCACCAGCTCTGTCAGCCCAGCTAGTCCCTGTCCTCTCTGGGCCTCAGCCACCTGAAGGCACAGTGGCAGGCTTAGCATGAGCAAGATCAGGGGCACAGCCACAGCTCTAGAGGCCCCACCTCTGCTCACTCTCCTCCCTGCAGACCCCAGGCTCCCTTCTTACCCCAACCCTTCCCCTAGGGAACCTAAATTTAGGCCTGCCTGGTGGTTGAGGTCCCCACAGCTGTCCCCTAATCCACCAGGGGAAGCTGACACCGGTGAGCACGTATATTTAGCATGTGACGCAGGTGCCCGGCAGCTGCGCAGGGGGCATGTGAACCAGATGCCTCCAGGCTCTCTGGCACTCCAGAGCAGAGCCTGCACCCTCTCATATGTCACCCCCTCAGGTCTCTGCATGGCCCTCAGCAGGCCCTGTTCTCCTGGACCCACAACCTCCTAGGTCCTCGGGCCCCTTTAAATTGCTCCCCCCTCCCTCCTCATTCCTCCAAGTGCTCAGTTTCCCCTTTTAAGGACATGGTGGAGACATTTCCAGCCTCCTAGCCCTGGCTCTGGTTAAGGGAGGGGGTTGTCCTCTGGCTCAACAAGCAGGCAGGGGAAACCGGAAACATCTTTGTCCGAAGGTGGGCTAAGGCCCATGAAGTTCCTGCTCCAGCCCAGGCCACCTGGAGACCTCAGAACTTGCTACCTTTTCCAGTGCCACCCTGCAACCATCTCTCTGGCTCAAGACATTCAGGCTCCCTCCCCAACCCTGACCACAGCTGAAAAAAATGTGGGTACAGGCAGATTCTCAAGCCCAAAAGCCCTAACCTCTAACCCCCACTCCGGAAGCCTCCAGACACCCCAGCTCCCGGGGCCCTGAAAGTTAGAACTTCTGAGTCCCTCTGCGTGGGACACATGGCCCAAGCTGGGGCAAGCAGTGGGGACCTTGACCATATGTCTGTGGTGTGAGGGTGTTTCTCGGGCTGAGAAGGTAGGATGGGGTCCCTGTTAACTTGGAGGGGTCCCCTCCTGCCTTCCTCCACTTACCATTTCTTGGTGCACTCCAACACCAGCTCGTGGTAACAGGCCACGAACTGGAACTTAGCAGCTCGCTTGCCCACGCGCTGCAGGCGCTTCCACACGGAGGTCATGGCCCCCACTGCTCCCGCGGTCCCCTCCTCAGGCCCGCGGCTCCCGTTAGCCAGCGACAACTGGCCTGGCCCGGGTCCCCATGGCCTTGGGGGCTTCTATCCGCGGCGCCCGCCCCGTCCTTTCGGAGATGCCTGGGTCCCCGACCTGAGGTCGCGATCGCCCGATACCGCCGTTGGGGCTATCTAGCTGATCTGGCGGAGATCTCAGAGTCGTCCCAGGCACACGTCGGGCTGCCCGGAGCGCAGAGCGGCGAGCGCGCCGTTTCCTGGAGCCGCACCCCCGTCCGAAGACGGGCGGGGCCGCGGCGCGAGGCGGGGCAGGGGCGGGAGCGCGGGGGCGGGGCCGCCGGGCTTCCGGGCCCTTGGGCTGTGAGTGGCGTCCTGAGGCCAGCTCCGTGTGCCCCGCAGGCCAGTGGGTGCTCCAGGCGGGGGCGGGACTCGTAGGCCGGGAGAGCGGGCAACTGGTAGCCTGGCGCCGCCCTGGAGAGCACTGCCCGGGCCACCTCCCTTCCTGTCCACGGCCCTTCCATACTCGTGACCCATTGCACAGGTTGAGACAAGAGAGACTACGGAGGGGGAAGGGACTGGCTGAGGGTCCTCCTGAGCATCTGCCTCAGAGCCAAGAATCCTCAACAAGGGCAGCGGACTTCTGCTGCTACCCGCGTCGAAATCAGAGCAGAAAGAGGTAGTCAGGGACCACCTCGCGTGGCCCTGCCTGTGTGGCGACATCCATCCATCCCCCGCGCTTTTAGAATTTTGACTCAGCTGTCCAGAGGGAAGACAGACCCAAATCCTGACCTTCAGTCATGTGTGTTCTGAGCCTTAGTTTTACATTCTGTAAAATGGGAATAAGTATAGCCGGTCCTTTATTGAGAGAAAGCTCAAGTCCAACTGATTTTGCTGGTCTCCATATATGGAGTCCCTTAAAGCCTGCACACTTGTCTGTTTACTCTCGTGCACCGGGAGGCCTGTCTGGGTGGGTGTTGGCTGCTGTGTTAAGGCCTTAGATTAGGGCCTTTAGCGGCCTTATCACCTACCCCTCTGCCTGCACAGTGTAGTAAACCACTACTGGTGTCACGCCCAGAGTCAGCTACCCCGGGGGCAACGTTTCAGCGGGTCCCCTTCCCACCTGCACTCTGCATTGTCAATAGACCATAATCTGGTGCTTGGAAAGTACCTGTACTGGATTTGAACGGGATCTCTGGTTTGCCAGGAGTGCCAGCTGGGTGACATCTCCAGGAGACAGGTGACTACTGCAGGGCAGGGCAGGGCAGGGCAGGGCAGAGCAAATGCTGCCAGTGTGCCTGAGTGTGCAGCTTCATGAGCATCTTCTGGCAGTCCTGACACCCAGCTTGCCTCCCAGTCCCAGTGGTGTGGTCCTTGGAAACGTCTCCTCTGTGGAAGGAAACCCCTTACATACAATCTACGTGGGTGGGGAGCGAGTGGCAGGGGTGGCCAGGCAGTTGGCATGAGGCTAAGTGTGCAATGTGGGTGTCTGGGACCTCAATCGCTCAATCCCTCTTCACCGCGGAGTCTCTTTCGCCTAAGCTTGGGCCATCCACCAGCTCCCTTCCCAGGCGAGACTGCCCTCTGAGGAGGTCACAACTGCATCCCTTCTGCCCCGCAGCTCTCCCCTTCCATCCCTAGGCCCTAGTTCCCCAGCCCTTCCTGAAGGCGCCTCCCCCTCTCCCGCCGAGGGCCCCCCGCTCCCCCCCCCTCCCCGGCCTGCCTGCCTGCCTGCCAGCTCCGGCCCACCCATTTCCTGTGCCGCCCCAACTCCGCCCCTACTCGAGGTGGAAAGTTTCGCTCCTCAAGAAGGGAGGCTGCATCTCCTTCCTCCCGGCGGGCCAGAAAAGCCCAAAGTGAGTGGGAAGGGGGCTGGGCTCCCAGGCCGCCAGCCCGAGAGGGGAAGTAACTGACTGCAGCTACACAGCTAAGGAGCCAGGCTCAACCAGCCGTTATCTTTGCCAATCCCGCCCCGGGGCGACAGAATTCTCACCCCGCCCTGGCTCAAGGCTTTTATTCGGGGTCTCGGGCGCCACCTGCCGGCGGAACGCGGCCCGCACTTGCCAGAAACCGCTATACAGTATTCCCGCCCCCGGAGTAAGGCAGTCACAACACTTGAATGCCAAGAGAGCATTTATTGACGCGCCCAGAAGGCTGGCCCCTAAATTTAAATATCCAGCTTGGGGCCCTAGCCTTTTACTGCCATGGCTGGATGCAAGGGTGGGTCCTGGAGTCCTTATCCAGGACTCTGAAATCCAGGGGCAGAGGTGGGATGCTCCTGGCCAGGAGCTGCCAAGAGCAGCAAAAGATGAAAAACAAATGGGAGCCAGGCACTCATCCCAGTCCCAGAGACCAAGGGAACTGCAAGATGCTGTGGGCCCCACTGCCAGACTAAGGGTTGGCCGAGCTGGGGGCGCACACGTGTGGCAGAAGTGGAGGCCCAGTGCCATGGCACAGGCTGCAACCTAGGAGCCCACCCAATGCCGGCTAAGCAGGAGGGGGCTGCCAGTTTTGCCTGAGGAGCACATGCCTTGCCCTCCTGAGAGGTAAGGTGAGGTGGTACCAGTGGAATAGCAGGCACTGTCATCTGAGGATTGCTGAAAGGGTGAGTTTTGAGCCTTTTGTTTGGGTGCGTGCCCACTGACCCCAGATCTTCAGAGGCTGATGTGGAAGGCGTCCTGCAGCCACTGGTCACGGGCATTGTGGGTCTGGGGCACAGTGAGGGGTGGTGGGTCAGGGGGCAGGCTGGCATCTGGCGGCTCATCGTCGTCAGACAGGCCGGCGTCGGGTGGGTAAGAGCTGTCCGAGTGCAGGGAGGATGACAGGTCCTGGCATAAGCTCAGGTCTTGGCACAGATGCTTGTAGTCCTGGATTGACTCGTACAAGCCCCACAACTGGCACAGCAGGGACATGTCCAGCTGCCGCAGACCCACCTGCAGACAACTGACAGTGGGCTGGAGTTGGGGTCCAGGCTGCCCCCAACCCACCCTTCTGGAATCGCGGCCCCCAACCCAGGCCACAACCCCAGCAGGTTATCCTGCACCTTCCTAAGTGAAAGTTTTGGAGACAACGGTTAACAGCTGCAAGATGTGAAACTTTACTCACTGAGCCTTTCTCACCTGTAAAATGGGATAACACACCCACCCAAGTAGGATGAGATGAACGTGAATAAAACATAAACATGCATGTTAACTCCTGCCATGAGCTGCTGTTTCTAACCGCTGGAACAAGCTTCTGTGACACTCAAGTGCCTGCAGGCTTTGGCTCCCATCCCGGGCCCCTGCCTCTCGCGGAAGCCCCCCCAGCCACTCACCATCTCCTTGCGCAGCGCGGCCAGAGCAGAGTCGAGGTTGACCGGCCGGCGCGGGCCAGCGGCTGGCCCGGAGTTGGCCGCACCAGCGGCGTGGCGGGGCCCGTCCGGGGCGCGCGCGGCGCGGCTCAGCTCGTCGTGGATACGGCTGCGCTGGCTGTAGACGCGCTCCAGCTCCCGCCACGAGCCCCCACTCGCGTTCAGGAGGCCGCTGAGGCCGCGCGGCAGCGGCGGGAGCCCAGCCAGGGCGCAGTCCACACCGCCTGGCGCTTCGGCGGAGGGCAGTCCGTTCATGGCCCGGCCGGCGTGGGGGCAACGTCACCTCCCTCTTTGCGACACTCCGCCCGGGCCTCCGCCCGGGCCACTGCCCGCAAGGCCCCACCGCCACCCGCAGGCCGCGCTTTGTTCTTTCCCCAGCTCCTCGGACCCGCCTTGGCCCCGCCTCCCAGTGTGGGCGTGGCCTCCTTTTAAACGGCCACCGCGGTGGGGCTGCAACGCCCACAACTGAAAGAGATACCAGGGGTACCCATAGAAGGGAAGCTGGAAGAAGGGTGAAAGGGCCCAAAAAGGCAGACATGGTTCCTTGGCGGTTCTTTTTACTGTCCCATCCCATACACAATCTTTGTTCAATTACCCTCCCGAAGGATATAAAAGTAGGTGACAGGAGACTGAGGCAAGTCGACACTTGGCTCTTAACATGCAATGTTTAGGGTCCACACAGCCAGGCAGCATAGGAATACCTGGGGTGGGGCATGAAGTGGGATGGGTAACAGAATGCTCAGGGGAGGGAGGAGCAACGGTCAGAACAAGTAATTGGAGGGTAGTACAACACAAAGCTACTGTCCAGCCCTGTTCTGCCTGAGGAGGCTATGGCCTCTTCCCCAGAAAAAAGAGTATATGGTCCTCTACCTACCCCCCCCCATTCTGATGGCCCAAACTGAGGAGAAATAAACACACTTCATCTTTTAGGACATCAGAAAGATCTTGGAAAGGTGAAAAAGCCAAATTAGGAAGAAGGTAAGTGAAGTGGGGGCCGGCATGTACATTCAGAACCAAGAATAAAATCACACAAAGGAATAGCAGTTTTTCTACAGGATCTTTTTTGGGGGGAGTGAGGACAGGGTTAGTGTTGCAGCTGCTTCAGGCTGTGTAGGGCCTCAGCACAGGCCCGGATAAGGCCACACAGCTGGATGCTAGTCTCCAGGGAGGCACTAGAGCCCAGCTCAGCTGAGGCCCAGGTCAGCTTCTGCAGGAGGGCTGTCTGTGTGCAAGCCACCGCGTCTGCATCTGGAGGCACAGTAGGAGGGGGTGGCCCCTGGGCTGCCTTTAACCCTGCTGCAGCTCCCTCACAGTGCTCTGGCCGAGGCACTGGGGGCTGGGCTGTGAGTCGAGAGCCTGAGGGTGGCTCTGTGGCAGAGGCAAGCTGGTGCTCCCGAGCTTGGGAGAGAGCAGCCTGGGCATTCAGTGCTATAAGGAGAAAACAGGTGCAATAGTGAGGATGCGTGACACCCCTTAGCCCTGAGCCACCTCCTCTTTATCTCTTTGCTTTCTGGGCCCCTTTGTAAGGCAGTCATCCAGTTTCTACCTTTCTTTTGCAGAGCTGGGGATGGAATTTTCAGGGTCTAACTAATTGTAGGCAAGAAGCCAGTCACTGAGCTACCCTCCCAGCCCCAATCCACTTTCTTCTGTATCCTACGTCTATTTGTGTGTTAACTTTATCTTCTCATCAAGACTCCCTGACAGACCTCAGACTGTCCCACAGTGTAGGGGACAGTAGGTTTTTAGTTGTCTTAAGAAAACATCTTACTCCGGGTCCGACCTACACCCTCCACTGACACTTCTCAGGCCTAAGGTCCCTGGTCATTCATTCGACCACACTCCTCTTCCAGTGGGCAAACTCAGCCCCTCACCTGGATTATCTTTATCCACGTCTGAATCAAGCTCCTGACAAGCCACGCAGTAGATTTTCCGCTGTTTGTCTTGGAGGAGGATTGTCTGGGGATCAGAACGACACAGGGCATGGATGAGACGCAGGGTGAACGGTTCGGAAGGGAGAACTGAGAAAGCCTGTGCTGCCTGGCCCACGACCCATCCCCAGCCACTCGCTTGAGTCCTCACCCCGCACTCCGCACACGTCTCGCCCAGCATGCGGTAACCGCGCAGCAGATAATCGCCCATGAGCCGGGAGATGCGATCCTGCCGCTCTCGTCGCGCCTGCAGCACCTTCGTCTCCGCCTCAGTCGGAGGCTCCCAGGAGAAATCGTCGACTTCTGGGGAAAAGAGGAAGAAGGGACCAATGTTTTGGCGGAGCAAGCTGCCTCCCATGCCCCGCAGCCACACATCCTAGCAGCCCAATCCCTCACCAGCGCCATTCAAGGCCATGTTGCCGTTGTTGCTGATGGGTTCTCCGGAAGTGACGAAGAGACAGCGTGCCTTCGCTGCAATTCAGCCCCTCCCATCTGGGCCCATGATGAGGGCGGAAGTGACGTCTATTGAGACCTCAGACTGACTTGCCCCGAGTGGGGCGTGTCTACTAGAGGCTGGACCCAACCCAGGAGGGGTAGGGGGTTGCCACAGTCTATTGAAAGGCCAATTTGCAGTGGAGAGCGTTTCCCCATTTAACTCCTCTACTGGGCTCTCAGGACTTGGAAGTAGCTTAGCCAGGCCCCGCTCCTGGCCGCCGCGGATGGAAGGAACCACTTGATTAGAGAAGTCCCACTGGCCACCTCCAGCCCTGGGATTTCCCTTTCTGCACAGGCTGAGTCCAGGGGCAGAAGGAGCCGAGGCGTCACTACAACCATAGTAACAGATGGCCCTTTGGGGTCGTGGAGCCTTTTTAGGCCACATTTTCGCTTGGACCAGCAAGACAAGCCAGGCAGAGGTTATTGTCATTCTGAACATTTTAAGATCCTCCCCTTCTGTAGATCCTGTAGCCCAGTCTGTCCATCCTCCCACCAGGAACATTTCGTTTCCTTTTGGGTTTTGTTTTGTTACTTGTTTTTTTGCTTTGAGACAGGGTCTAACTATGTAGCTCAGGCTGATTTCAGATTCACAGCGATCCTCCCGCCTCAGCCTCCCGAGGGCTGGGATTAACCAACGTGTGTCCCCACATCAGGCAGTGGTGGCTTCAGTTGCTGCTTCTGCTTCTGCCTTTCTTTTGTTCTTTTATTTATTTATTTTTTTAGTTGTTTAAGCCCTGACTGAAGTCAGGACCCCAGTGTCCTCTTGGCTACTGTCTTTAAATGGGCAGGACTTTCTTTTTTAAATTATGTGTATTGGTACGTTTTAGATACACGTAATCACATTCATCATAGGGAGTTTGTACCTGTATGTGATAATCTTTTCCCTATCTTCTACCCTCCCTTCAATGCCTCCTCTCTCCTTATTTACAAAAGGTTTGTTTCCTTTTTTTTTTTTTTTTGGTCTTTTTCATTTTTATCGGTATCGGGGATTGAACTCACGACGCGTGCTTGCAAGGCAGGTGCTTATACCGCTGAGCTAAATCCCCAGCCCCTTGTTTCCTTTTTTCATTTTCTTTTCTCTTCCTTTCTTCCTACTCTCTCTCCAGTACCCCTTCCCATTTGAATATTTTCTAAATATTTCATACTACCCATTGTATTTTTTTGTTGCAGGGTCTCACTATGCAGTGCAGACTGGCTGTGAACTCACTTATGTAGCCCAGGCTGGCCTTGAACTCATGGCAATCCTCCTGCCTTAATCTCCTAAGTGCTGGGATAGACAAGTGTGTGCCACCACATGCAGCTTCTGTTACACATTTTGGTTTCTTTTTTTTTTTTTTTTACACTGTTTTCTTGCACCAGAGTAATAATACAGTATTTACACATGTTCTGATTTATTTCATGTAAGAGCATGGTCTCAGGGCTGGGGATTTAGCTCAGCAGCATAAGCACATGCCTTGCAAGCAGTCGGTCATGAGTTCAATCCCTGGTACCAATAAAAAGGAAAAAAAAAAAAGAGTATGGTCTTGCCAGGCGTGGTGGCTCACACCTGTAATCCTAGCACTTGGAAGGCTGAGGTGGGAGGATCCTTGAGTTCGAGACCAGCATGGGCTACAAAGTGAGCTCACCCTGAACTGCATAGCGAGACCCCGACTCAAAAAAGACCAAAAAAAAAGGAGTATGGTCTCATCCATTTAGCTAGAAATGTCTCATTTATCCTTCTTTATAGCTCAGTAGTACTCCATTGTCTAAGAAAAAAAACCCATCTTTATCCCTTCATTGGTTGACTTGCATCAGCACTGCATCCAAGATTTATCTGTTATAAACTGTGCTTCTATAAACATGGATGTACATGCATTGATGGAGTATGATGCTTTTAATTCTTTGCAGAAGATACCAAAAAGGGGAGTAGCTGGGTTCAGTGGAACCTCTAGTTGTGTGCTGCATCTGGCACAGGTCTTGAAAGTCCAGAATGGGGATGGTGCAGGATGAAATTAAAAACCAGAGTGAAGATGCAGAAAACTGAAGTCAGGTAGAGCCTCCTGGAGGGGAAGAGCTCCCCATGGCCTGCAGTGTACTTATTTATGCGCTTGGGAGGTTATTGTCAGTTGAAACCTCCCTGCCTAGCAACTTGTCTGCTTGGTTCACCTCAGGTGTCTCCTGTTCTCAGAGTTGGAACAGCTTGTTCATGTCACTCACCTTGGGCACTTCCTGTTCTCAGGACTGGCCTTGCTTAGTCTCTCACATGTGATTGATCGCCAGCTTCAGCATCTCCCCACATCTCCCCCTTTTCTGTTTTGTAGTTGCAAGTAATGGGTGGTCAGTTGAAGTTCGGAGGACTGCAGAAGACCCTATGTTTGAACCTTTCCATTATGAGTGAACTCACTTGTTTAGGCTAAAGATTCCCAGTTCATGGATTTTAGGTCCCTGCGTTCAGTAATTTAATCCTATGCAACCCATTAACCCATAATATTAGTCTATTACCAATGTAGCTGGCAATTGTAAGGTGTTAGTGATTTGAGTTTTGTAGCTAACATACTATGGCACTGTGGTTATACTTTTCTGCTGGATGTTTGTCATGGTTTATGTTGGTGGCCCCCAGGCCTCATGCATTTGTATTATGCATTTGTGGTTGGTTCATTGTCTAGAGCTTGGAGTGACGGTGTCAGTGCTACACCCACATAGGGGTGGAGCCAGCATACAAAGTAATGGCAGGAAGAAGTTGTGTCTCTCTCTCTCTCTCTCTTTCTGGTTTCTGCCTTGCTGTTTGCAGCCACCATGAACTGCGGCCCAGCCATGCCACCCTGCCTTAGAACCAACTGAGTATGGACAGAAACCTCCAAAAACTGTACGAAATAAACCTTTCAAAAAAAAAAAAAAAAGAAAGAAAGAAACCTTTCCTTTCCCAACTTGGGGCATCAGGTATTTTTGTCTCAGCAATGAGTAAAAAGTAACTAAGACAATGTTCAAGCCCAAGTTGAGGTGAGACCTGTTTTTAAATTTAATTTCTTGCTATCTTTCAAGGTCAGTTATATTGTCTCAGGATTTGCTTAGAACCATGTATAGCACCTCTTAGTTCTTCTGTCAGTGTCAGCTGTCTGGATGACCACTGCTTAACCAAGTTGCTTTCTGTTTTGTTTTATTTTGTTTTGTTTTTATGGTACTGGGGATCGAACTCATGACCTCATGCTTGCCAGACAAATGCTTATGCCACTGAGCTAAATTCCCAGATAACCAAGTTGCTTTCTATGAAAGCTTGGGAGACTTTTCTCTCCTAGTGACTCTCTTTAGGCATGTTATACACCATTGATCTTCCTGTGTGGCCCAGCAATCTCCTTGGTCAGAAGGCCAGGGATTCACTAAGTTATAGGTTCTCTTAACGTCCTGTGTCCTCACTGACCTCAGAGGGTCAAGGCCAAAATATTTGCTGTCCTCTTAGCTCATCTATCTTTCTATTTTTTGGTCTCCAAATCTCAGCTCTTGAACATCCAGAAGAGAAGGTTAATGACATTACATTGTGATGGGAGCGGTGAACTTAATATTATAATATTACCTGAATATCAAGCACCTTTAAATACGTATAGGACCATTATTTCCTATCAACCATGGATATTCTAGTAGTTAAATCACTGTACAATGTTAATAGACAACGGTTATATAGTTTTACACAGAAAATTTGAAATCAAAAGCCATACATAAGGGCTGAGGGTTTGTTTTTCTTTTTTTGTCTTTTTTGTTTTTATCGGTACCAGGGATTGAACTCACGACTGCCTGCTTGCAAGGTAGGCGCTTATGCCACTGAGCTAAATCCCCAGGGCTGAGGGTTTAGCTTAGTGGCATAAGGAACTTAGGCTCCTGCCTTGCCAAGCGTGAGCTCGTGAGTTCAATTCCTGGTACCAATAAATAAATAAATAAATAAAAAGCCATACATAATATTGTATGATGATAATCATCATGATTTTTTTGACACACCTAAATTTCCATTTTGACATAAAATAGCCTTCTTAGTCAGTCATTTCTGTCTAGTACATAAGAAATTTTTACATAACTTGTTGACCTATAATGGGGTTTGTCTTGGTTACTTTTCTCTTGTTGCTAAGACAAAATGCTCGATACCCAAAATGAAGGAAGGAAAGTTTATTTAGCTTACAGTTTTTGAAGAGTTTAGTCCATATTCAGCTGGCTCGAAGGCAGAGTGGCATGGCCAAGGGGAAGCCATTCAAGGTGGCTGCAAGCAATAAGGGCAAAAGGGGAGGAGCACGGAGAGAAACTCTTCCTGTCCCTTCTAGTGTATATGGGCCACACCCACTTAGGGATGGCACTCACACCCATAATCCCAGCACTGGACCAAGAAACATTCACAGACTCTAGAAGCCTGTCTCCATGACTGCATGAGGCTTTGGGGGACATCAGACTCAAACTGTAACGGGATGTCATTGAAGAAATTTGTGACATTGTGTGGACTGCTTAATGTCTAGGCATCTCTTTAAGTAGGGCAGCACATACATAACATATACATCACATAAGTTTTTGTTAAAGGCAGATGTCTCAGACTGACAACCACCTGCCTTATAAGGCAGGTGCTTATGTCGCAAATCCCCAGCCCCTCCAGAGCATCTTTAAATCAAAATGTTATTGTCTTATTTTTAGAAAACTTAATCTCTTGATGATGACAATATCACAGTAATATATTTTAATAACATTTGTTGGGCATCTCCCATAAGGCTGTGAAGATTATTGAGGCCTCCCACTAATGAACAAGAACTGGATAATTATTATTCTAGGCAACTGTTTTCTTGTTTATCAATTGGCGTTCTGTCCAATAATCTCCCTTTACTATAAGGGATTTTTAATTATCTTAACAATCTTTTGATGACCAATAAGAAAATCAAATTTGATAATATTTTGACCAGCTGGCAACCTGGTGGAAGCATGCTTTTTAAAACTATAAACCAAATTAAATTATGAACAAATGATCCAAAAATATAAAAGAAAATAGAAAAAAATGGTTGAGCTCAAATTTT